GCGTGGAATATTTTTTTCCAGCCCTTCACTTTTAGTCTGTATGTGTCCCTTGCTTTGAGGTGGGTCTCTTGTAGACAGCATATATAGGGGTCTTGCTTTTGTATCCATTCAGCCAGCCTTTGTCTTTTGGTTGGGGCATTCAACCCATTTACATTTAAGGTAATTATTGATAGGTATGGTCCCATTGCCATTTATTTTGTTGTTTGGGGTTCACGTTTATACCACCTTTCTGTGTTTCCTGCCTAGAGAAGATCCTTTAATATTTGTTGAAGAGCTGGTTTGGTGGTGCTGAATTCTCTCAGCTTTTGCTTGTCTGTAAAGCTTTTGAGTTCTCCTTCATATCTGAATGAGATCCTTGCTGGGTAGAGTAATCTAGGTTGTAGGTTATTCTCTTTCATTACTCTAAGTATGTCCTGCCATTCCCTTCTGGCCTGAAGGGTTTCTATTGATAGATCAGCTGTTATCCTTATGGGAATCCCTTTGTGTGTTATTTGTTGTTTCTCCCTTGTTGCTTTTAATATTTGTTCTTTGTGTTTGATCTTTGTTAATTTGATTAATATGTGTCTTGGGGTGTTTCGCCTTGGGTTTATCCTGTTTGGGACTCTCTGGGTTTCTTAGACTTGGGTGGCTATTTCCTTCCCCATTTTAGGGAAGTTTTCAGCTATTATCTCCTTGAGTATCTTCTCATGGCCTTTCTTTTTGTCTTCTTCTTCTGGGACTCCTATGATTCGAATGTTGGGGTGTTTCACATTGTCCCAGAGGTCCCTGAGGTTGTCCTCATTTCTTTTGATTCTTTTTTCTTTTTTCCTCTCTGCTTCATTTATTTCCACCATTTTATCTTCTAACTCACTTATCCTATCTTCTGTCTCTGTTATTCTACTCATGGTTCCCTCCAGAGTGTTTTTGATCTCATTTATTTCATTATTAATTTTTAATTGACTTTTTTAAATTCCTTCTAGGTCCTTGTTAAACATTTCTTGCATCTTCTCAATCTTTGTCTCCAGGCTATTTATTTGTAACTCCATTTTATTTTCAAGATTTTGGATCATTTTTATTATTATTATTCTAAATTCTTTTTCAGGTAGATTCCCTATTTCCTCCTCTTTTGTTTGACTTGGTGGGCTTTTTTCATGTTCCTTTAGCTGTTGGGTATTTCTCTGCCTTTTCATCTTGTTTAGATTGCTGTGTCTGGAGTGGGCTTTCTGTATTCTTGTGGTCTGAGGTTCCTTTTTATTGTGGAGGTTTCACCCAGTGGGTGGGGTTGGACGATTGGTTTGTCAAGGTTTCCTGGTTAGGGAAGCTTGTGTCAGCGTTCTGGTGCGTGGAATTGGATTTCTTCTCTCTGGAGTGCAATGAAGTGTCCAGTAATGAGTTTTGCGATGGATCTATGTCTTAGGTGTGACTTTGGAGAGCCTGTATGTTGACACTCAGGTCTATGTTTCTGCGTTGCTAAAGAATTTGCGTGGTATGTCTTGTACTGGAGCTTATTGGCTCTTGGGTGGTGGTTGCCTTTGGTGTAGGTATGGAAGCTTTTGGATGGTCTCTTATTCCTTAATGTTCCGTGTAGTCAGGAGTTTTCTGGTTTTCTCAAGATTTGGGCTTAAGTCTCCTGCCTCTGGATTTTAGTTTTATTCTTCCAATAGTCTCAAGACTTCTCCAGCTATACAGCACTGATAATAAAATTTCTAGGTTAATGGTGAAAAGATTCTCCACCGTGAGAGACACCCAGAGAGGTTCACAGAGTTACATGAAGAATAGGAGAGGGAGGAAGGAGATAGAGGTGATCAGGAGGAGAAAAAGGGGACTCAAGAGGAGAGAGACAGATCTACGCAGTTATCTGTTCCCAAAGTGTTCTCCGTAGCCCAGACACCCACAAAGATTCACAGAGTTGGATTGGGAAGAGAAGGGGAAAGGAGGAAATAGAGGTGTTCCGAAGGTAGAAAACAGAGAGTCAAAAGTGGGAGAGTAATTACCACACTCCTGAATGGAAATGGGAACTGAATATTGGATTCTTAAATGACCAAAATTTATATCACATACTACTGAAAAACAAAGATTAAAAATCTAGTGTAGTGGTTAGACTCTTTGAAATACAATATTTAAAAACAAAAACACAAAAAAAATTTAGAAATGTATATGAAGTTTGATTAAAAAATAGGGTTTTTCTCTCTCTCTTTTTTTTTTTGGCAAGGTTATAGTGAAATGAAAATGAAAATTAAGGAATAATAGAGGAGTATTAGAGGACTTTAAAAGGAAATAGGAGAGAAAAACAAGAAAAAGAAAAAAAAGAAAAAAAATTTTTTTTTTCCTAATTAAAAAAATCGTAAAAATATATGAAAATGAAAGTTGAGGAGTAATGGGGGAGTAATAGGGAATTTTAAAAGAAAATAAAAGAGAAAAAATAAAAAAAATTTTTTAAAAGGATAGGAAAAAAATTTTTTTTTAATTAAAAAAAAAAAAATATATATATATATCTCTAGGAATTTCTCTGGAGTTGTTGCAGTCAGCGTAGGTTCAGTTCAATTTCAGATAGCTCCTCTTTCCAGCTTACACTTCTCGATATCTGTAGGCCCCTTCTGGTGTAGTCGGTGTTACCTTCAGGGATTTTAATCTGTTGCACCAGTCCTTTCTGAAGCGGTTCCCTTTGTTTATTTGGCTTCTGTTTGCCGTCTCTTTGGTGTCTAATTTCCGCCCTGACACAGGCGGGTGGAGGTGATCTCTTATTTAGGTTCGCTAGTTCAGTTCAGTCCTGCTACGGGGAGGGCGGGGCGCTGCAGACAGATACCGCTCTGTGTGGACAGCACTCACCGTGTTCCGGTCACACTGGGTTTGCCCCGCTCCCGGGTGTCAGTGCTTTCCCCGTCTACACTGCTCAGGCTCCCGGCTGCTCTATATGGAGCGGGCCCTGCGTTGAGTGCGGTTCCAGTTTTCGGGTACTCCACAAAAGCGCGGATTCGGTTGCGCCTGCGTTTTGTACCTTCCCCGGCCTGAGCGGCCCAGGCAGCCAGAGGCTTGGGCGCACTCTCCCCGGATGCGGCGCGCCTTTTCCCTCCGCGGCGGGCAGCTCAGGCAGCCAGAGGCTTGGGCGCACTCTCCCCGGGTGCGGCGCGCCTTTTCCCTCAGCGGCGAGCGGCTCAGGCAGCCAGAGGCTTGGGCGCACTCTCCCCGGGTGCGGCGCGCCTTTTCCCTCCGCGGCGAGCGGCTCAGGCAGCCAGAGGCTTGGGCGCAATCTCCCCGGGCACGGCGCGCTTTTTCCCTCCGCGGCCCCAGCGCGCGCCGCCAGTCGGGTCTCAGGAAGTCTTTAGATAGGAACCGGGGGCCTGTTTGCAGTGTGGGAGGGGGTGGCTTCTCAGGGGCTGAGTTTGCCCTTTTCCCCTCCCCCCCCTGCCTCCTACCTCCAGCGGGGATGGGCCGGCTCTTCTCTGGACTTTCTCAGTCCCTTTGTTTTGCGAACCACCGGCAGTGTGTTCGGGCCTGTTAATTTTGACCCTTGCTATCCCACAGTTTAAAAAAGCTCCCTCCGATTGCTCTCAGGGTCTTCGGGCCAGTCCTTACCCTAAGCAATGCCGCCCGCTCCTCTCCGTCCCGCCCCCGCTTGTTGCTGGCGGTCTGGGGTACTTTTCTGCTGGGAGTTGCTTTTAGGCACGTAATCTGTGGGCCTTGTTTAATTTTTCCTCCCAGTTAGATTGCTGAAAACTTCCCCCAGTCCCGCCAGTGCGAGGGTTTCCTGGTGATTGGAAACTTCCTCTATTAAGACTCCCTTCCCGGACGGGTCTCCGTCCGTAGCTCTTTTGTCTCCCTTTTTATCCTTTATATTTTGTCCTACCTCCCTTCGAAGACAATGGGCTGCTTTTCTGGGCGCCTGATGTCCTCTGCTAGCGATCAGCAGTTGTTTTGTGAAATTTGCTCAGCGTTCAAATGTTCTTTCAATGAATTTGTAGGGGAGAAAGTGGTCTCCCCGTCCTGTTCCTCCGCCATCTTGGCTCCTTCACACTTTCACTTTCATACTGCATTATGACTATTGGTCTGTGTGTCCTCATGATGACCATGAGCATTTTCCTGACATGAAATTTGTATTGATATTTCTGTCCTCATCACCATAGACAATTTTTGGAACTCTTCTGGCCACTAATCAATATGGGCTGAATGTATTAGTGATACAAGTCCTGCAGTCCCTCAGGTAGTAAAATGTTAAGAGGCTCTTAAGAGGCTCAGTCCAACGATGATCAGAATTTTAGAGTAATATTAATATTCAACAATATGTACTTTTAATCTTGGCCATCTTGGACTCACTTATTCTTTTGTACACTTATCACATCTGGTCCCCAAACTGAGATTTAGACCAAAAAAATTCTAAGATACGTCTACCAAATCAAAGCATTTAATCAAAGGTTTTTTTTTTTTTGTTTGTTTGTTTTTTTTTAAGTTATGCCTTTGGGTTAAAGATCTTTTCCTGTAGTTTTATTCTCTATTTCTTTTAAATTCAAAGTGAATTTTCTCTCAATACCATAATTAATTTATATTTTCAACATCATTGTAAAACAGCAAAACAAGGTTTCTTTTTCAACATACAGGTTTTACTTTTATGAAGAAAAGAAATTTGGGCTTTGGAACACATATGTGCATCCTATATGTATCCTTATAAGACACATGTTTATTCTATTTTTATAATTGCCAAATTATATTTTATAATTTTTTATTTTAAATAAATGTTATTTTAAATAAATTTTATAATTTATTTTATAATTGCTAAATTCTGACTCAGAACCTGAAGTCAAAATTTAAAGAGAGGCTTGTCAGCAAACCAGAGCGAACTAAAGATGGAACTTTATTATTTTTACAACCATCATTTAGACTACCATTCAACATAGTTAACATCCACCATAATGTGAACAAATATACGGCTCTTCATGCCTCCAAATGGCTGCATATACATCCCTGCAGGATGATCCCATGCCTGCTCTCCATAGGTGAGTACCTGAGAAGCAAACAAGATTTACCTTCTTTGTCCTTGTGGGCGCTCAGCTGCGAGAGGAGGTTCTGGCTGGCCTGCACGCAGTACACCTCTCGGGTCTGGATGCCCCCTCCGCAGAGGGCCGTCTGGTTGCCTCGCCTCCTGTCCTGCTGGCTGAGCAGAGGGTCCACCCGACACTCGGTCCACTCCGTGGTCCTCCAGCTGTACCTAGATAAAGAAAAGGCCGACAGTGGCCATGTGTTCACTGAATACAACTTTTCTCCAATCCTATTTGTTTTTTTCCCTCAAGAAAATTAATCTGAAACATTCCTTCCCCTTGAATCAATCTTAGACCACATCTCTGGTACAGGTTCAGTTTCGATCCCTTCTCTACATCCTTATGCTGCTCCGTTTAAAGAGGGGTTAAATTTAAGATGATCCAGTTTTAATTGCAACTACTAGAAGTTACTTATAAATATTTTATGCAAAGAGAGCATAATGTTGAATATATGAAATTTTATGAAATATATGAAATTTTAATTAAGCTGAACTCAGGCTTGCCCTTTTTTCATGTTTATAAACAAAGGAAGATTGAATCTGAGAATGGAGAACATTCTAAATGATGAACCCAAATATTTGTTTTGTCCTTAATAAAATGTATGACAATTCCTTCTTCACACTGGTCAAAATTGTGATTGTGTGTTTGTAATAAAAATATAACATAATTCAGACTTTTCTCTTTATTACTGAGAATAAGAGTTTTTTTTTTTCTCTCTCCTGTAACATTTGAGCATCCCTGATGAGTACTGATGAACGATGAAAAGAGCTGACGTTTCTAATCAGTGGAACACAGGAAAGATGATCTATGCTTCTAAATTAAAGCTCCAATCAAGATTATGATGTGAAAAAAATGTCAGAGGATTGTCAGCCCAACACATGCTTTAAGGAGATAGCCAGGGTCTTGATGTCACTGAAGATAGACAGTGATGGCATTTCTCTACCTCAAGGAAAATGGATATTCTAAAAGTACAAAGAAAATGGCTCTTGGCGTACTTTATGTCATTTTTACCAAGATGCTTCCTTAGTAATCAGATTAACAGCCAACACAGGTACAAATGGATGTGCTAATGCTCATCTCAATTAGACAAAAAGGTTAAATGGGCTCTTGGATGTCTGATCTAGATGCTTTGCTTTGTCAGTGGTAGGGTTTCATGTCAGTAAATGTGAACTTCATGCCCATTTTTCAATTTTTGTAAGTGGGATTCATGGCTTAACAGAGGTACAGGTCTAGGGCATCAAAGAACAATGCTCTTGACATATATTTATAAAGGAAGTGAAGTATTCAGGTCAATTTTTAAATCGTCGATAAATGATGGCTTGGGAGGAAAGACTGGGAGGTGGGACAGAAAAGAAAACTAAACAAGCCATTCATTAGGGGAATTAAAACGAAAATTTTATTTTTTATAGAGCAGCATCCCAACATAGGTCATCCTAAGGAGTCCTGTGAGAGAAATAAATTTTTTAGTAATGTAAATTGATTACACATTCTTAAAAAATATGCTACTATCCACAAAGGGTTAGAAGACAGAGATTTAGAATAGGGATTTATTTTAATTAATAGTTAATGATGTTTGAATAACTGAGAGGATAAAGATATCCTAGCTTGAGATTAAAAAAATGGAAGAATCTCGCAGGAGATGAAACACTCTGACTAGAGAACCTGGTAACTTCCCTGAAACTGTTATGTCAAGGGGAACATACAAGTCAGTGGGGCAGGCAGAGAAGTTTGGAAGGAAACTTCAGAGTGTTCAGCTGGTTATATTAGGTAGGGGAGAAAGGAGGATTCCATAGTGCTGCATAACTGAAGATCTTGTATGAATCATTACTATTCTTTGTTATTATTATTATTACTGTTAGAAACGGGAGGAGAAGCAGCAGCATCAGTGGTAGTGGTAATTTTCCTCTTCCCTGGTTCATCAAGTGCAAGCTATAAGCTTATTCTCTAAATGTTTCAAATATTCCAGGGAACCTTTCGATGAAGCTTGTGGGTACCTATTGATAAACTAAGATTCTGTTAAGTTTTTTCATAAATACTCTATATTCAGACTAACCTGAAACATATTTATCACCAAGTTAATTCACAGTAATGTCTTGGAAATGATTTTTAAGGATAAAAATAATATAGTTACAGTGCCAAATATTTCAAAATCAGTCTTATTTCATCTGAATTCAATGAACATTTATTGGGTACTTACTATGTGCCTGGTCCTATGACATATACCAGTGATTAAAGAAGAAACAATCTCCACACCCAAGGTTAATAAGCAATCTTGGTCCTGAGAGAGCTTAAAGTCTTATTATTTTGATGTAGTATTCTACTATATTTAATAGGATTTGTTTTACATAGTGCTGAATTTTAATAGGGCTTGCTCAATAGGCAAAAGGAACCTATATTTTGAAAGATTATTTTACCTTATAGACTAGTTGACAAACTATGGCTAAATTCAACCTGTCCCATTTCTATAAATAAATTTTATGGAAGCATATCCACACTCATTTCTTAACATATTGCTTATAGATCCAAAGGCAGAGTTGAGTCATCGTGACAGAGACACATGTGGCTCATAAAGACTAACATATTTACTATCTTCTCCACTACAGAAAAAGCTTGCCAATCTTCATTACAGAAAATACGCAAAGAACCACTACTAAAAATCCAACTTTTGTGGAGATTGGGAAACATAGCTTGTTACTGACACTTTCATTTAGTAAAACTGGAATTTTTTTTGTTTTTATCGGATAGTGTTGGTAGAGATACATTTCTACTTAGAATTTGTAAAAATCAGTATTTCACAACACACCATCCCATTGAAATCAAACGGCTAAAGGAATATGCAGTTTGGGCAGATGGGCAACAGAGGTCGCTGTCCTTATTAACTCACGTGGCACAGGGGGCAACTCCATCTCCTTGAGACACACAGGGCTCTTTTTCCTCAAGTTCTGGACACTTCTCCTCGCTGCCAATAGGAAACTGCCTGATGAGCCGAGTTCTCACGCGGATGCCTTTAGGGGATGCCGTGTCATGGCACGTTTTTGAGCAGGGGCTCCACTCTGACCACTCGGACACCTGGCACTCCTTGGTCATCACGCAGGCCTGGAAGGTCATTGGCAGCTTCTCTTGCTGGCAGAAGCTGCAAACAAGAATTAATATTCTCATCACAGACTTGAAGGTAGGCATGAACTTTGTAGGCAGGCATGAATGTTCCAGAGCAAAATCAGCTTGGACATGTTTATTTCTACTTGGAAGTACAATTCCAATTTCATTGAAAACGTACCAACATTTATAATGTGTAAAAGCTGCTAGACTCCAAGCTAACACTTGCATTTCCTCTTAGTTTGTAATAGTTGTTAAACCATTCGCAGGAAATAGAAAATAAAAGATGAAGCAAAATTAGCTGAAACTAAGTCTACCATATTGTTCATTTTACTCACTCCAGATTTGTTTTAACTTAGAAAATGAACTGTTAACATAAGATAATTTTCACTCTGTTTAGTGATTTAAATAAACATGCCTGGCTAACTACTACATTATTTTGAATAGAAAAAAGCAATTTAATTTATGCTTACCATTATTTTTAATATAATTTGAAATTTTAGCTGTCAACTACAAATATAATGTAGGCTTATTCAAATACATCAACTTTTTCCGGTCATACTTTAATGCAAGGTCTACATATGAGTATATTAATTAAATGCGTCCTAGGCATTAGAAGGGCGACAGCAGATGAGATGGTTGGATGGCATCATCGACTCAATGGACATGAGTTTGAGCAAACTCTGGGAGACAGTGAAGAACAGGGAAGCCTTGTGTTCTGCAGTTCATTGGGTCACAAAGAGTTCAGACTCAAGTAAGCAACTGAACAACAAACATTAGAAATATAAATTTATTAAGCTATACTGTGTAGAGATATCCTCTAAATAGATCTAGAATATTTAGTCACCAGTAAAGTATTTATGTTCAAATTCTTATCTAACCATTCCTCCTTGAATTAGAAGGATGTTGAATTCTTTTGTTTTTCAATTTATTTTTTCCTGAAGGATAACTGCTTTACAGAATTTTGTTGTTTTCTGTCAAACCTCAACATGAATCAGTCACATGTATACATATATCTCCTCCCTTTTGGACCTCCCTCCCATTGCCCTCCCCATCCCACCCCTCTAGGTTGATACAGAACCCCTGTTTGAGTTTCCTGAGCCATACAGCAAATTCTCGCTGACTATTTTACATATAGTAAGGTAAGTTTCCATGTTACTCTTTCCATACATCTCACCCTCCCCTCCCCTCTCCCCATGTCCATAAGGCTATTCTGTATGTCTGTTTCTCCATTGCTACCCTATAAATAAATTCTTCAGAACCATTTTTCTAGATTCTGTATGCTGCTGCTGCTAAGTTGCTTCAGTTGTGTCTGACCCTATGTGACCCCATAGACAGCAGCCACCAGGCTCCTCTGTCCCTGGGATTCTCCAGGCAAGAATACTGGAGTGGGTTGCCATTTCCTTCTCCAAGATTCCGTATATATGCATTAGAATATGATGTTTCTCTTTATCTTTCTGACTCACTTCACTGTGTATAATAGGTTCTAGGTTCATCCCCACCTCATCAGCACTGACTCAAATGTGTTCCTTTTTATGGCTGAGTAATATTCCACATGTATATGTACCACAACTTCTTTATCCATTCATCTATTGATGGACATCTAGGTTGCTTCCATGTTCTAGTTATTGAAAATAGTGCTACAATGAACAGTGGGGTACATGTGTCTTTTTCAACCCTGGTATCCCCAGGGTATATGCCTAGGCATGGGACTGCTGGATTATATGGTGGTTTTATTCCTAGTTTTTTCAAGGAATCTCCATACTGTCTTCCATAGTGGCTGTATCAATTTACATTCTACCAACAGTGCAAGAGTATTCCCTTTTCTCCATACCCTCTCCAGCATTTATTGTTTGTAGACTCTTTGATGATGGCCATTCTGACCGGTGTGAGGTGATATCTCATTGTAGTTTTGATTTGTATTTCTCTAATAATGAGCGATGTTGAGCCTATTTTCATGTGTTTGTTAACCATCTGTATGTCTTCTTTGGAGAAATGTCTGTTTAGGTCTTTTTCTCACTTTTTGAGCGGGTTGTTTATTTTCCTGGTTGTTTATTTTCCTGAGTTGTATGAGCTGCTTGTATGTTTTGGAAATTAATTCTTTGTCAGTTGTTTCATTTGCTATTATTTTCTCCCATTCTGAGGGTGGTCTTGTTACCTTGCTTCTAGTTTCCTTTGCTGTGCAAAAGCTTTTAAATTTAATCAGGTCCCACTTGTTTACTTTTCTTTTCATTTCCATTACTCTAGGAGATGGGTCATAGAGGATCTTGCTTTGATTTATGTCATCAAGTGTTCTGCCTATGGTTTCCTCTAAGAGTTTTATAGTTTCTGGTCTTACATTTAGGTCTTTAATCCATTTTGAGTTTATCTTTGTGTATGGTGTTAGGAAGTGTTCTAATTTCATTCTTTTACATGTAGCTGTCCAGTTTTCCCAGCACCATTTATTGAAGAGGCTGTCTTTGCCTCATTGTATATTCTTGCCTCCTTTGTAAAAAATAAGGTACACATAGGTGCATGGGTTTATTTCTGGGTTTTCTATTTTGTTCCATTGGTATATATTTCTGTTTTTGTGCCAGTACCATACTGTCTTGATGACTGTAGCTTTGTAGTATAATCTGAAGTCAGGAAGATTGATTCCTTCAGCTCCATTCTTCTTTCTCAAGACTGCTTTGGATATTTGGTTTGTTTTGTGTTTCCATATGAATTGTGAAATTTTTTGTTTTAGTTCTGTGAAAAATGCCATTGGTAATTTGATAGGGATTGCACTGAATCTATAGATTGCATTTAGTAGTATAGTCATTTTCACAATATTGATTCTTCCTACCCAGGAACATGGACTATCTCTCCATATGTTTATGTCACCTTTGATTTCATTCATCAGTGTCTCATAATTTTCTGTGTACAGTTCTTTTGTCTCAATAGGTAAATTTATTCCTATATATTTAATTCTTTTTGTTGCAATGGTGAATGGGATTGATTCCTTAATTTCTCTTTCTGATTTTTCAGTGTTAGTGTATAGAAATGCAAGTGATTTCTGTCTATTGATTTTATATCCTGCACCTTTGCTAAATTCACTGATTAGCTCTAGTAATTTTCTGATACTACCTTTAGGGTTTTCTATGTATGGTATGTCATCTGCAAACAGTGAGAGCATTACTTCTTTCCTGATCTGGATTATTTTTATTTCTTTTTCTTCTCTGATTGCTGTAGCTAGGACTTCCAGAACTATGTTGAATAATAGTGGTGAAAGTGGACACCCTTGTCTTGTTCCTGATCTTAGGGGGAATGCTTTCAGTTTTTCACCATTGAGAATAATGTTTGATATAGGCTTATCACATACGGCCTTTACTATGTTGAGGTAGGTTCCTTCTATGCCCATTTTTTGAAGAGTTTTAATCACAAATTTTGTATCCATTCAGCCAGTCTGTGTCTTTTGGTTGAAGCATTTAATCTATTTACATTTAAAGTAATTATTGATATATATGTTCCCATTGCCATTTTCTTAATTGTTTGGGGTTGATTTTGTAAATCTTTTTTCTTCTCTTGTATTTCTTGACTATGTAAGTCTATTTAACATTTGTTGTAAAGGTGGTTTGGTGGTACTGGGCTGTCTTAACTTCTGCTTGTCTGAAAAGCTTTTGATTTCTCCATCAATTTTGGATGAGATCTTGCCGGGTACAGTAATCTTGGTTGTAGATTTTTCCCTTTCAGTAGTTTAAACATATCCTGCCATTTCCTTCCGGCCTTCAGAGTTTCTGCTTAAGGATCAGCTGTTAAGCATATGGTGTTTCCCTTGTATATTACCTGTTGCTTCTCCCTTGCTGCTTTTAATATTCTTTCTTTGTGTTTAGTCTTTGTTAGTTTGATTAGTATGTGTCTTGGCGTGTTTCTCCTTGGGTTTATCCAGTACGGGACTCTTTGTGCCTCTTGGACTTGATTGACTATTTCCTTTTCCATTTGGGGGAAATTTTCAACTATAATCTCTTCAAAATTTTTCTCATATCCTTTCTTTTTCTCTTCTCATTCTGGGACCCCTATTATTCGAATGTTGGTGCACTTGATATTGTCCCACAGGGTCTCTAGACTATCCTCATTTCTTTTCATTCTTTTTACTTTATTCTGCTCTTCAGAAGTTATTTCCACCAAATTATATTCCAGGTCACTGATTCATTCTCCTGCTTCAGATATTATGCAACTGATTCCTTCTAGAGTATTTTTAATTTCAGTAATTGTGTTGTCTCCACGTTTATACTTTAATTCTTCCAGGTCTTTGTTAATTGATTCTTGCATTTTCCCCATTCTGTCTTCAAGGTTTTTTATCATCTTTACTATCATTATTCTGAATTCTTTTTCAGGTAGTTTGCCTAATTCCTCTTCACTTTTTTGGACTTCTGTTTTTCTAATTTGTTCCTTCATTTATGTAGTATTTCTCTGCTTTTTCATTATTATTTTTTTAAACTTATTGTGTTTGAGGTCTGCTTTTCCCAGACTTCAAGGTTGAATTCTTTCTTCCTTTTGGTTTCTGCCCTCTAAGGTTGGTCCAGTGGTTTGAGTAAGTTTCTTAATAGGGTGAGATTTGTGTTGAGTTTTTGTTTTTTTGCTTTTCCTCTGATGGGCAAGGCTGAGTGAGGTGGTAATCCTGTCTGCTGATGACTGGGTTTGTATTTTTGCTTTGTTTGTTATTTAGATGAGGCATCCCGCAGAGTGCTATTGGTGGTTGGGTGATGCTGGGTCTTATATTACAGTGGTTTCCTTTGTGTGAGTTCTCACTATTTGATAACCTCTAGGGTTAGTTCTCTGGTAGTCTAAGGTCTTGGAGTCAGTGTTCCCACTCCAAAGGCTCAGGGTTTGATCTCTATCAGAAGTGTGAAGTCAATGTCTGCTCTTTGTGCTTGCACTCTGGGTCCATCTCAAGGCAATGCATGAGCTATTGGGTGATGCGCTTTTATTATTTTAGCAAACTGCGATCAAACACTAATCCGAGGAATTTTGGTGAAAGACCTGCCTTGAGAGATGTGCCTACTATAAATGAAGTCC